GAATTTATACAGCACCACCCCCTGCTTTTCTTTCTTGTTGCAATTAACAACGCAGCACTGTCTCGTACGCATTTCGTTACTTTGTAAACGTAAACACTGATTCAGATTATACAGCTATAGCGGCAGCCTATGTCGACTGCTTGGAGTTCTTGCTCTCACGTATACAACATTACAGATAAGTATGTGTGTTGTGTACTATATGACAGATGATATTTAATAACTCATTATTTAAAATTTCGGGCGATTTGAAGTGCCTAGCAAAATTATTTATCCGTATTATAGACCCGGTTTGGCTAAATAACATTTTTTTTCCGCCTTCGATTTCTCAACTAATTACTTTAAATGAAATAATATCTTTTCTCGTATAAGACAACGCTTACTGTACGATTTATGGGGGTACGGGTTCGCCAACTTTGCTCACCTACAGCGCTGCAGTCGTTTTTTTATCCTCTCCAACCTGATGCACGGAGCGAATATGCTCGAAGGTCGAAGGTGCAAGCCGTGCTGCAGGTGGTGGTGGCACTGCTGCTGGTCGTCGACAAGAGTGTATTGACGGTCTTTTCAAACATTTAAGGAAGTTGTTAGAGAAAGACGAAACGAACAGCGTTATTGAAGAACCTTTAGCAGTTAGTAAATTTAATCCGAAATGATGTATGCCCTGATTAAATTCTCGGTGGTTCATTCTCTATCACAAACTGCGATAGTAGATTTATTTGAAATGGTGAAAAGTTTCTTTGGAAGAAAACTGAAAAAAAGTACCCTTGTTGGGAAATGGAAATAAGCAAGGAAAATTATTGTCTACTAAAATTTGTAAAATGTATTTTGTGTAAGTATAGAGTTACATATTACATTGTTTAAATATATTTCAAAAATTATGCTCACAAAAAATTGTATCAGTAAAAAAATTAACAATTAAGATAAAAATCAGTTTACAACAGTTACAATTTCATTGGTAGTAAAATAAAATAGATCAGCTTGCACTATAGTTATTTCATACGATAAGAGTGTAATAATGACAAAAAACTATTCGATAATTTATCAAGCATTTCATCGGAATTTTTCTTTATTACTTACTTTTATAACGTTATAGACTACTTCACCAATTTCACTTTTTTTTCTCAAATGATTTAGCAGAGAATTGGCATTAGTTATGCTCTTTTTAAAACGATAAAGTCTTATGTTTGCAGTCTTATTTTTACGACGAAGATTTTTAACCTCTTCCCTTGGTTTGAATAATATTTCCCTCACTTCCGTTGAAACATCCAATTTTTATAGATCAACATTTAAAATTGAAGATAGGCCAGACCTTTGACGTACAGTACTATTTTTGCTACGATAAAAGTAAATACAAATTTTAATATATTAACAGTAATATTCTGCTGGTTTATCAGTAATACTGTTTTTAAAGATACCTGCTATCATCAAACAAACTGTCACTCTCAGATTTGGTAGAATCATTCAAAACATCACCAACTTCAATGACTGATGCATAACTGGAATCTTTGGGGATCGCTTTACCACTTGTGATTGACTCCACATAATTATATTCATCAGTATCTTGTATGACCTTATCATGATTGTCACTGTAACAAACAAAATTTCACAAAATTTAGTTATCGTGTTACTTATATTAAGAAGATACGTTGACATTCTGAAATTTTTGTAACCTTAATTCAGGATCTGATTGCTGACTCTTGTCTTGATTTGCTACTATATTTATGGAACTAGATACATCCATTGATTCCAAGAAATTTTCCGATACTATGGGTCTAGAAAGGACATTTTGCACTGTACTTGAAAATAACGAATAATACGAAATGTGCTTCATAAATAATTTGCATACATACCCTGTATACTCATTTGGATTAAATAAACGTGGCACAGCATCATGCTTCAACCGCACATTTTTGCACATACCAGAAAAGTTAAAGTATTTAAGTTCGAAATGTTAACTGCAAACGTAGGAATGCTTTCCAAGCTTTAGGTTACAATGGATAGCAAGACTTTGTTGCCACAGCTCTCTTTTTTGAGCATCCTTGCCCACACTACAGCAAATATGTATGCATATAATAATAAGCAACGATTCCGCCCTATATTTTATAAATTAACACACTTATTCACAATCTTTTGTGCAACAAATACATGTTAGTACTATAATACTGAATATTTCCCTATGAAATGAAAAATTTTGAGCTGCTAACTCATAACTCTTAAGTTTGCATGTTGGCACGCAGCAAGTTTTCATTTTTCCTTATCATTTTACAATTTAAAAAGGAATTGTACAATAATTTGCAGTTTCACTGACATTTTGGCCAATGCAAACGTAATAGACAGCAGACAGCTCAAAACAAGTATACGAAAATCCACACCGTCAGCAGTAGCCAATCATGAGCGAGTAGGTGGCAAGAGTGGGGTACCCCAAAAAGTTTCTTTCTCTCTCTTCTCCTGACTACTGGTTTTACCATTAAGTGCTTGCTCCGTGTATATATTATTCGCTCCGTGCATGACACGCAGCGCCACCCTCGGTGTCAGAATCGCGAAATACCGTACCCCCGTATGATTAAATCGTAACACTGTCGCTTATAGGAGAATGTATTATTTATTGAACAAGACGTACATACTGCTATCGCGTAAACATCAGCACCCTAAAAAATGGATACGATTATCTAAACAAGCTTTAAAAGTACAAGTTGCAACATAGTTTTTAAAAATGAAACGCTGAAAAAAGCTAAAAAATTAGTAGAGAGTGGGCACGTTGCCTACGTACAGGACTATGTAAATAAAGGAGTCGGTCATCTGATCAATTGCTATGTTGTGAGACAAACATCTGTCAGCTTAAATCCATAAAAAGTAGAATTATCTGTAAGTACATTATTGCCTATGCTTGACAAATGTAGGTTATGGTAACATATACATAAATGTGTAATTTATTTATCAGATTAACGAAGACCGCTGTATCTCCGACGTGAGCTGCGAATGTGTAGCTAATCAGAGCCAAAAGTGTAAGCACATCAGAGCACTGATCTATTTTATCAATACAAGCGATAGCCTGAGTAAAACTGATTTTGAGGAAATAATCCACAGCTCCTTCTGTTTTGTTTCATGGGGTCTACTTGGGAATTTATAAAGCACCACCCCCTGCTTTTCTTTCTTGTTGCAATTAACAACGCANCAGCCATTCACTAGCAGACGTCACCTGCGGAGTTGTTCTTCGCAAGGCTGGAAAACCCGGTGACCGACGACCCTATATATACTACCCTATCAACTCTAAGCATTCAACCAGGAATCACTGATCCTTTCCAAGGTCTGCATTGGGCAAACCTATAACTAAGCAAAGGTGCTTATTTACTTCATGTGAAAATAACAGACTTTTGCTGTGTGGCCAATACAGCTTATAATAAACGAAATACCAAATGAAAAAAGGACTAGTAATCCAATTGTTTGCGGAATATGGTTTGGCAAAAATAAACCAAATAGGATATCTATCTCGAGCCATTTGTCCTAGAAATGAATAGACTAGCAAATGAAGGAATCCGATGCACAATTAATGGTCAAGAACGTTGCCTTAAAGTATACGTTGTATGTTGTTGCGTTGATTCTCAAGCACGAGCATCAATGCAAGGAATAAACTAATATAGTGGTTCTTACAGTTGCAGCTGGTGCTTACACCCTGGATTGAATGTTAATCAAGGTAGAGGTCACAGCATTAAGTTTCCAATTTTAGATGTCCAGTACCTCTACGAACACAAGCAAACGTGGTCTTGAATGCACGAGAAGCACTCGATGCACCAAAAGGGGTGATAAAAGGTGTTAAAAAACTTACGATTTTATCAGCACTGCCAAAATTTGATATAGTTGAAGGATTTGTACCCGACATCCTACATTGAAACAATTTAAGAAATGCGGAAAGATTTTTAAAATACTGGATAGACACAACTGGTTATTTATATTCTTTAGATAATCAAGAAATTTCCAAAATTAATAAATACTTAAACGAAATTAAGCTTCCTAATCAAATACAAAGATTATCTCGGCCAATAGATGACAGACATTTCTTTAAAGGTGTACAATATGAAAATTGGATTTTATTTTTAAGTGATGTAATACTGAGTAATTTACCTCGATTCCATCCGTACGCTCAACATTGGAAATTATTTGTAAGAGGATACGATGTGTGTAATCCGCAATCACCACCAGCAGTTACACAACATTGTCACGTCTCATATTTGTAACTGCTGGTGATGATTGCGATTACATCCTACATTTTAATGAAAGATGCTATCACGCCTGCAGAATTGCGTCATGCCCACGAATTATTAACAGAGTTTGTTGTTGAAACAGAGAGATTGTATTCTGTACAAGCCTTAGAGAATATATACATGGAGGAAGCATTGTATGCTCCGACCGCGAGACGAGATGAGAGAGACAAAAGACAAATAGCAGTACAACCTTTCTCTCTCTTACACGCCTCTGATTGGTTGGCCCCCTTCCGTATATATAGGTATAGTCGTATCCACGAGTGGCGGTCGTGGGGGAACAGAGCAGATATATATAACCTAAGCTCTGATGAAAAAGAACTTATACATTACCAGAGAATATAGAATATATCCTCTTTAAGTATAGAAGGCCAAAGCGGAATTCCGAGCAATACACACTAAAACAATAATCTTCCATTACAACACAATTAAAACAACAAAATTTGAATAAAAATTTCCAATTTTAATTAAAGCCCTCATACCTGGTTAAACAGTTCATGTATGGCTAATGACTCAGTTAGAATGTTTGTCATCGATAGCTGAGCGGTCAAGAATGCTCGATTAGCTTTTGCGCTCTGGGCTTCGAATCTGACCTATGCTTTTTTTTTTAGGTATACATTTTCATAATGCTTGTTTTATTACGTTTCGTTTGTTTATAATTTTTAT